TTTTCTCTTTCTTTCCTTTGTATGTAACACAGTATTACAAGCGTATTTTTTATGCGCGCGGGGGCGACAATTTAAGGCTGGAGCGATGGAGAAAATTGTGCGGGATATTACGTAACGCGCACGCAACTGCTTGCTCGTGCGCGCGCGCGCGCGCTGCTGAACGTATATACTGCAAAACTTTAAACCGCATTTTCTTCGTACCGTGTTGCGCCGAATGGAGGACACGAGAGCACGCGCGCTCGGACGGAGATTTGCGGAGAATTGTAATTTCGAGAGAACACGCGCGCCTTCGCCTCGCCGCGCGAGAATCGCGCGGAAGAGTTTCAGCGCTCTAAATGCCGCTTTTATTTCGCGCGAAATAAAACAATGCGCGCATTGATATTTCGGAGACACGTTAAAGGAAAATCTAACGCATTTCAGATTTATCGCGACACATTGAATTAAATTTATCGACTTTGACAATTTTTTTTTCTTTTTTTTTCTTTTTCTGATAGTTTTTTTCCCGGGGATATGTATGCACGCCAGTGAATCACAATAAAGCAAACCTTTGTTTATTGCACTTTTTGCTATTCTGTGTGTATATGTGTGTGACAGAATTTATAATTCCAATAGAATTTTCCAAACATTCCTTGGGACAGATGCGTCCCAGCGGCGATCGACGGATAGATGGGAGAAACAGCAGGAATTGTTATAAACAAACCGAAGCCATTTTTCACAATTTCGAAAATTTGAGCTTTTCAGGGCCGTCATTTCGCCAATTTCACTTCCACATAAATTTCCGTGACTCACGCTGAAACTACATGGAGATAGACGATGTACCTCCCCCCTTCCTCCTCCCGCGACGATCCCTTTTTTTTATACCGCTGATTCAGCCGGCAAAAATGCCCGTCGCGTTTACGCTAGTAAAAAGAAGAAAGGAGAGGGGGACTTCGCTTCTCAACGGATCATAATTTTCTGGTGTCTCCTTGCTCTCTCTCTCTCTCTCGGATAAGCGCTATCAAAACGCGCGCCTATGAATATATCCAAAGTCGTACGAGCCCCGAACGAAGAGAGTTTGTATCGTAAAAATACAAAAAGAAGACACTCCGCGCGTGACCTTTACCGCCGCGTCGGGTAAGAGGGATGAGATTAGAAAGAAGTTCATCGATCTATAAATAATTTTTCACGATACAGAGACGCGTATTCGCGATGGACACGCTTTTAGACGCGTAATACGCGGTAGGAAAATGGATCAATATATAACGAAGCGTGCCATTATCTATGAAAACTCATTTCAGAGCGAGAAAGAGAGAAAGAGAGAAAGAGAGAGAGAGAGAGAGAGAGAGAGAGAGAGAGAGAAGAGAGAATGAGCGAGTAAGCTCTGAATGCACATACTTCCAATAAGTACGAAGCAAGACTGTGCGGAGCCCGACACTATTTCCCGTAAGAGGAATTACCTCCGTTCGTATCCGGTACAAGCCATGGGTTACCCTTGTTACAGGCTTCTCTCTCTCTCTCTCTCTCTCTCTCTCTCTCTCTCTCTCTCTCTCTCTCTCCCTCTCTCTCTCTCTCTCTCT